TTTCTTTAGCAGTCCGTCCAAAACACTTATCCTATTATTATTAATGTTATCTAAAGTATAATTTCATATAAAAAAATTAATTTTATAATCAATAAATTTATTTTTAAAATATTTTATATAAAAAAATATAAAGAGAACAAGTTATATATTTTTAAAAAATTGTTGAGTTATACATTTATCATAATAATAATAATGTATTGATTTGCTAGCAATATGTTAAGTAATGTACTGTATTATTATAATTATAAAATGCAAACTTATACTTTAGTGTTTAATATATAATTTTGAACGCATAGACTGTATTGTAATATAAACTGATTTACTTTGTTGAATACAATTTTCGCATTAATTTTTAATGTAATCATTGAGTAAATTACGAGTCTAAATCATTTTTAATAAATTCACTATAATTATTATAATATCAAAAAATATGAAATAAAAATAAAAGTTATTAATAAAATTAATATCTTTAAAAATCATTTAATAGAAAAGTTTATGAAATTAATGACTAAAAGTCTAATTAAGTGCTCACATAAAGGGTAATACAATGAGTGCCTAAAATATTTGATTAATCAAACGGCTTAACACACAATTTATGTCATGAATTTTGTGCACAAAATTTTAGTTCAACTAAATCTCTATTCATATGTTTTTTCATTTATTAACTGTTAGACTCAATCTTTGTTATTGTTTTAAGTATTAATGTATATAAAATGTTTATAATTATACTGTATATGAAAAGTTAACTCTCAACATATGATATTATATATAAAATATCAGAAATATCTTATTTAATATTTTCATATATATCTTATATACAGTATATGATATTATTATAGATATATATTATATAAATTAAATGTATTTCACGAAACAGTTGCACAACACATGTGACAAAAGCTGATGTGATTTCACTGTACAATACATAGAGTGAGACCAATGTCTCTCTCAGTCATTACTTTTTTCCAAACACTAATGCATTGACAGTGCATTTGCTTTCAACACTTTTATCTTATAATTATTGGTCACACAATTTCAGACTACATGTGCTGTTCGTGAGATGCTATGTGGACTAAATCACTAGACAACTAAAGAGAGAGAGAGAGAGAGAGAGAGAGAGAGAGAGAGAGAGAGAGAGATAATAAAAAAGGCAAAGTTCTGGTATTGACGAGGAGTTGTGCCAAAGTATACGCCTCGAGTCTAATATAAAGGAATGGGAAGTAACACGTGTCTGCCTGTACTCTCTCTCTCTCTCTCTCTCTCTCTCTCTCTCTCTCTCTCTCTCTCTCTCTCTCTCTCTCTCTATCCATTCACTATGACTGTACTCTATGTGTCTGTCTTTCTCTCACTCCTGTCTCAACTTTCATGAAAGCAATGATGGATTTTAGCCATTACTTTGCTCCATGAGATATGACCGCCCAATACCAGTGCACACATATAACGCTTAAAATTGCATCTCTTTGTATGCTTTTCTTTAGTGTTGGTCTTAAATAAAACACATTTCGGTATAAAAGCCATTGTTTTGAAAAACACTATAAATAAATGCATTTATATTATTTGACTCATTGTTCACATATAATATATAAAGATTAATATAACCTTAGATTAGATATAGATTTTTAGATATTGGATAACGTTTTACTTATATATTTGAAATTTGTGTCGATTAGTGTTAATTTTTTAAAAACTCAAATCAAACAAAAGTAAAAGTGAGCAACAAATAGTTTATAATAACAATGATTTTTTAATAAGTATATAATATATTAAATATAATTTTATATTATAAATTATTTGTATCATACTGTATATATTTATTTATAAATTTTGTTATAAAATTTTAGATTAAACGTCAAAATTTGACGAATTTTTTTTTATGTATAAAAAGCATTAGCAAGTGATTCAACACATGATGAGGAAACTCATCTGAAAAAGTAACAGTTGCTCTTAAATATATGTAAACGACTAAACAAGAGTATCGTATAATAAGTTTGCAAAATATATAATATATCAAATATTTTAGGCATCGCTTTAGTAGTACATAATATATATATATATATATGCCGTATATAATGGCAAAACAATTTCAATATGTAAATTGTGAGCGACGGCCGATATGACGCTATTATATACAGCAATATATTAAAGCAATGGAAACATATTTTAATGTTAGGCGTCGATAGGTTCTCTGTTTATGGCACTGGTAGGGCAGCGACCACTTTATTTAATACAAATCGAGCCAAAAGCGAAACACACATTCAATATTGTATTTGAAGATAAATATAGCCCCAATACTCTCTCTCTCTCTCTCTTTCTCTCTCTCTCTCTCTTTCTCTACGGATGGATGGGATGGTTGGATGGATAGCACATATGATGCTTCTCTTGAACTCAAATAACAGCAAACAAGAGAGTTGAGGACTGCTTAACACCTGTCAGTTTGTTCATTGAGTGATGGCTATGGAGAACATCACAATCAACTACAGTACCCATGGATTGGATGTGCAATACTATAGTCGCTAAACAAATGTCTACTAATATATAATACACTGAGGAATATTGTGGAGCATTGAGTAACACTATCACTACTTTTCATACATTGCTTACCAAAAACACTCTATAAGGCAAACACTTACTCTATTAAACTAACTTATAATACATAATATTCACTGTTTCTCTAAAACATAGAAAATATTTTTATGCATTTTTTCATAATTTAATTGTTTTTTGTGCTATTCATAAAACTACTGTATATTTACAATAACAACTGATGAATGCTAACAACTGTTGTTCTCATATTATATTATAATATAATTTCATCCAAAATGAGTTGACAGACGCATGAATTTTAATTGGCTTTACTTTATTACCATTGACTGACCCCTCGTCAACCCCAATGGGAACTCATAATATGTCTGTATTTACTTAAATGTTTGCATTGTATGTATGTATTGCCAACATTTTACTCAATTGTGTCAATACATTTAATTTTTCAGTCAATACAACCATTCTCTACACACAATTCAAACACATGTTTGAAAAATAAGTAAAATGTAAATCAAGATTTAAACAAAATTACAAATTTTTAAAATGTTAACATTACAACATTTATGACTTATTAATGTTATGCTAAAATATTATCCAAATAACAAATTTTTAATGTTAGCAATTAGTTATTTTGAATCAACAATTTGATTAAAACATTTTTTGGTATAAAACTTGGATTTTGTTTTTATTATTTTTGCTTTTTTCTTTTATAACAATTTAATTAATATTGTATATACAAAAATTAACAGAGTCAACTAAATAATATTAATAAAAAATGACATAAATTATTTGAGTAAAATCATTTTTTTTAAAAATCAAAATATTCAAATTATATATTCCGGTATATTTTTCTTCAAATAACAAATATAATATTTAAATTTAATTTGTTTTCAATTTAAGCATATATAATTTTTTTGCATTAAGCATTAAAGGATTATGAAATAATTTATGAGTTGATTAAAATTTTGGTGCAAAATAAAAGATAAAAATAAATTGAGTAAAATTCAGGCTTTAGATGGAGATTAACTTTAGGATTACTGATAGACTTCACTTATTTTTGAAAGGCTTTCAATTGATGGCATCTCTTTTTATAATTGATGAGTCTATGAGAGCATCACTTTTATATCCCGTTTCAATAGATTCACTAACTTATCCCCAATAATACAGTCCTAAATAAGGCGTTCAATCATTTGTATTGTGTATATACATTGTATTACACAAAATATTGTATATTATATTAAATATATTTTTTAAAATATATATATGATATTATATTTAGTTCTCATGTATTTATTATTATAAATAACATATAATTTATTAAGAATTGTAATTTGCTAAATGAGTATTTTCAGAAAATATATTTTTATTAAATAATTATATTTTATTTTTTACAATAGGACAGAAATAAATAAAATTAAAGCAAAACCAACAATATTTATTTGAGACAAATTTAATTATAACATTTTAATTCAAGAAGACATATAAATTGCAAGTTGCACTCAAAAAGAGATTTTTGATGTTTTATTAAAAATGATTAAATATTTCTTTATATTTGTGGCAAAAATATTGTTTTTCTTTTTTTTAAGGATAAGATGACTCAATTGTGTGCCGCAGTCATTGCACATACATATCATGGATTCAAAAGAGCGGAATTGTTTGATTGATTTAACAATTGATTCTTCATATAAATTCATTCGCTATAAAAAAAAGTTTAGTTGGGTTTGAAAAACACAAAAACCAAAAGAAGTTTGAGTTCATTCGTGTTTACTCAAGAAGAATATTCTGTGAGACCAACAGAGAATTGGAGTCAAACTATATATTTTCGAGTCATTGATTAAGATTTGTCTCTTAAAATCAAATATCAAATATTTCTGGTAAACCAATTCAATATATCATCAGTTCTACAGTTATTATCATTTTTATAATAATAACTATTCGTATTTTGAAATAATGTATTATTTTGAAATTATTTTATTGTAATTTTTTTCATTATCTATTATTTTCCATAAAATTCTCAGTATCCAATTTATATAATACAATATTAAAAAATTGAGTGACATGATTTTTATAAACTTATTGTAATAACATTTACAATGTATTACAACAAATTAAATGCTTAAATCGTATAAAAAATATGTGCTAATTGTTTTATATATATATATATATATATATAATTATAAACAAAATAATAATAATAAAATTAAAATTATACAAATTCACACTATATTTACATCTTAATAATATTTTTTAGTAATAATATATTTTAACATTTTGTCATAATCTCAAAATAATTTAATGATGTATTCATCCAAATTAGAAATTTCTCATATTATTATGTAATTTATTTATAAATGAGATTCTGTACAAAATATAATCCTAAATAAATCAAAAATATATATTTGAAAAAATGTCATAAATTAATGATTTTGTGAAACAAAAGAGCGGCATTTTGATAATACTAAAATATATTAAATTATACAATTTATATAAATTACAAATTAATAAATATCATTTGAACAAAAAAGTACAATTTATTGACAATCAATTAAATTTATTAAATGTAAAATTAATGGCTAATGATTGATGATTGAAATGTTATTGTTATTGGTTGCCAATCAATCACATCACATATAAATGAAATTAAAACGACTGAGAGTTTGTGGTAAACTCGAAATGATTGGTCCGTATCCCTGAGCGTTATCGTAGAGCTCAAAGAGTGGTGCGGCCACCAGTTTGTAGTTCTTGGGCACCGCAAACAGTGCCTTCTCTGGTAACTGAACCAGAAATAGTCGTTTATGTTCTTTAGGTTTAGTTATATGCGGCGGTATATACGGGTATTGTGGCGGTTCAAAGTTGGGTCGCCACCAGTTGCCAACTGTGTCTTCAATGTCCCATTCCTGTGCCACACCGTCCTGACGACCCAAAGTCTAATCAATAAATCATATATCAGTATAACTATAATCAACAAATTAGTTGCAATAAATTAAAACAAAACAAAAGTCAAACAAACTTCGCTCAATAGTCTCTTAAGTCCATCCAATTCGTCTTCTCCGGCATTGAGTTCACCGCCGGGAAGTTTGAAGAAAGTCGTGCCCAACTGAAGAAGCAGAACGTGTGGCAGTTTGTGTTCGTGGACTAAGAGGACGCCCTCAACACTTCTTCTTTGGCCAATCTTTTCAAACTCATCTCTCATTCGCTGAAATCTTGCCGGAACTGATGGGTCCTTCTCGAAGAGGGCATCCTTAGTACCGAACGTGTAGTTTGTCAACGGATACCTATTCAATAGATAATAATTCATGTAATATGAATTCATTGGATCAGCTGTGATGACCAAAACAACTTACAAATTGATGGTACGGTTGACGGTTACCGACAGAATGCTGTTTGACGTCAAATACTTTCCCGAATACTGTGTCGGTGTTTGACCTTTTGGCCAACCGGTGGTCGACGAGTTGCGCTGCGGTACAGACATTGTGTTTGTGGCGGACAAGAGTCGGATCAATTGATTGCGAGACAATTGCCGGCAAAAACAAACAAACAATTATTGTTTCAAATGTATAACAAATACATTGCTTTTCAATGCATTGTTTGACACTTTTTGAGCACATTTTCAATGCTTTTCTATTGCTTTCACATAAATAACGTATCATTTAATATGTGTTTCAATTACTATTGAATGCAAAATACAAACAAAACAACAAATAAAATGGTTTTTAATGTTTATATTATTTTTGTTGATTGAAAACAAGTGACGGATTTGTTGTGACCACTGATGTGACACTTAATTGTCTTCACGCATACATCTGTCATCATCTGCACAAACATTTTGATCCAATTTTCATCCAAATATCACCCGACAAACAGTCATATGAAGTGTCATTCAAGTGAACTATGATTTGTCCCTCAAATCGGTGTTGAAGTGACTTTTGTGACCAATTGGTGGCCATTATTGTTGTCGATATCACTCTTCTGTTGATAATATCATTGTATTGTTTGTGTTCATTCAGTGACAATGTCTGGTTTTGCCTCACAAACGTTGGAGAAGAAGTTGTCTGATTTGAATAACTCTCAGCAATCAATTCAAACGTTATCACTTTGGCTGATCCATCACCGCAAACATCATAAGGCCATTGTTCAGACGTGGTTTTCTGAACTTAAGAAGGGTTTGTTTGCATTCATTGATACTAATGTTGATATTTGTTGATACGTTTTGATGACTGAATCAACTGTTGATTTGTATCGATAGCTAAAGCGTCGCGAAGACTGACATTCATGTATTTGGCAAACGATGTCATTCAGAATAGCCGTAAAAAAGGTCCCGAATTTTCAAAAGAATTTGGAGTTGTTCTCAAATTGGCCTTTGAATCCGTGGCTAAGTATGACATCAATTATATTTATATAAATAATACTGTAATTAATTTTACTAAAAAAATTTGTTGAAAAATCAGAGATTCAGACGACAAGACCTTGTCTTCACTCGACAGGATATTAACCATTTGGGAACAGAGGACTATCTATGATGCGAATGACATCATCTCATTTAAGTCTGCCCTCACTCTCAGGAAGAATCAACAGATAAATGATAAAGATGTTAATAACACTAATAAGACAAATGACACAAAAACCTCTTTGGATAATAAAGTGGACACAAAAATGACACAAAAACGATCGGAAGAGCGTAAGAAAGAGAACCACAAGAGCTCTAAGAATAACAAACACGAAAAGGGGGAAAAAGAATCCAAAAAGCGTTCAAATGATTCAAAAGACACGAACGCCGCGAAAAAGAAGGCAACAAATGATTCAAAAAACTCGGTTTCCTTTAAGAAAAAAGTGGTAACATTTGAGACTTTGATGAAGTCGTCGACAAAAAATGATGAACCAGTTCTCAGTAGTGGACCAATTGTTGACCCGGAAGCACTTATTAAAGCCTTACAGCAGTTGGAAAATTCTGCCTCAGCTGATGCCGGTGTCCGACAAAAGATTGCAAGTCTTCCGACCGAAGTTTTTGACGCGACTTTATTAGAGAAAATTCGTGATAAATTGTCTGCCGAACGACTGACCAAACTGGTCGATGAGGCCCGGGTTCTATTGGCTGACTATAACGCACGGTTGGCACAGGAACTGGAAGATAGAAAACAAATATCATTATTATTAAAGAATTACACACAAAATCAAAGGTATGCGCTGTCATTAACTGAACAAAAGCTCAACGAATTCAAAGACAAACTCCGGAAAGTTATTCACGTGAGGAATGAGCTAAAGTCTCATCTCCAGAATTTGCCTGATTTGAGTCGATTGCCATCAGTGACTGGTTTGGCACCACTTCCCTCAGCGTGCGATCTCTTTAATGTTGCACGTGATAACATGATGGGAGTCAACACTGCCGGCTCTGTTAGCTCATCCGTATCGCCTAATGAAAGCAATGCATCGCCCATTGATTTCGGGACACCCGGCAGTAATACCAGTTAGTAGCTAAAACAACAATTATCATTTAAAAACAAATTATACAGTAAATATATTTTATGATTGACATTAGTTTATTATTATAATTACAATATAATTAAAGTATACGTTTTAACAAATTTATTAATATTATATAATATTAATACTAATTTAAATGATGTATCAAAGAATTATTATTATTATTTAGCAAATTATACATTTGTTTATAAAAAAAATATTTGTACTCTTTTGTGTTTTCATTAGTATTTTAATATCATGATTAGTATAATTATTATGCGAGAAACAAATTTTATTGTTTAAAAAATTTTCATATAATTTATAAAAAAAATTATAATTTCAATAAATATTTATCGATAGTTGCGGTTACTGTAAGTCCTAATATAAAGACACCGATAATAATATAAATCGATGCAATAAATGCATAAAATTTATCTTTAATTAAATAAAGATATTTATCTTTAATGAGAACGGCTTTCAAAAAACAAATTGCAGGAAATATGAACACAAAGATTGTGGCAAAAGATCCTAAAAATTGAATTGCAATCGTTATGTTCGGCACATTGATGGCCATCACTATTGTTGACATAATCCATGTCAACACTATAATAGATCGTCGATAGGGTTCAAAGTGTGACCAATTGGTACACAAAGTCGCAGTCCGATTGATTCTTTGGCTTATCATTTGAATGAAATCTTCGACAGCAACTCTTCCGCAAAATAATAATAACGGATAAACTGTTATTGTCTTAGCAATCAATGTTAAGATTGCAATTAAAACTATCCAATTGTTGGCATCATAGTTGGACATCAGGTCATTCTCGATATAATCTGATCCAAAGGTCAACAAACCGAATATAGCGGTCAACGTGTATGAGACATAACAGATGACGAGGGATGCGATAATAGTTAGGATCACCTTAACTGAACCAACTCTGTGTTTCATTCCGGCATAAGTTGGAACCCAACTTAATTGGCACTGGTATTTAAAAATTGTTATTTAATACACTTATCAATTTTAAATGATTTTTTGAGTTCATTCAACCTAACCTGATATGAGAAGCTGAGAACTGGTGTTATATAAAATATTTCAGTCCATGTATTGGGTCGAGTCTTGACCCAAACCATTTGATCATCACTTTTCAAATATTGGTAAATCACTAAAAATATTAAGTAAAATGTTGTGCTAAAGCCTAAAAGGCTATTGAAATAAGAAAAAGTTAGTTTAATAATAAATATTTATATTAATAATAATTAATGAATTAAATGGTCAGACCTGGCGTTCTTGAGAAATGAGATCTGTTTTGAAAAACTTAATGGTATTATGAATAAGACACACGTAATACTCATTGTAAAGTTGCGATTCAAATACCAATGATTAGTAAAATTAATACCATATAGTGAGAGAAAAACTATAAATAAAAGATTATTACGATTAATATACATTTATAATAAATTACCGGTAATTATAATTTCTCACTTCTATCAAATTGATCACCAATTATAATGACAAACGTAATGCAAGCACCGTATGAATAGAGTATTATTATAATTGAACAAAACTGTTGGCATTTATAACCACAAAATGCTAAAACAATGTCTTGTAATGATGTGGCCTGTGATATGTCGGCGCAATGCGACAGCAATATTAACGATCCGATTATGAATATAAGAAAAATCTAAAATATTAAATATTAATAATTAGTTAATAATTGAGTCATTTTGTTATTAATTTAATATTATTTTTGTATTTTTTAAATCAATTTACTGTTTGAATAACAAGTGAACACAATATTCCTCCGGAATCGTTAAAAGCGTGCGGAATATTGAGTAGTCCGGCGCCAAGGGTTGCGTTGACCGTAAGGAATATAGCGGCCAAACAGGTTGTTGTTGTTCTTACAGATGATTGACCACCACTTTGGGTATCATTCAAGTCATTACTATTAATAGTTGCCGAAAGTCTGGTCGATACGGAAGGAGTCTCATACTCATTGCCGACCGATAGGATCGGCACAAGAGATTCGTCGACCATATTATTAAGCATTTGAGTGTTTTATTAAAATCTTGACAGCATTGCACTTGACTTTCAATTAAAATAATGTGTAAAACCTTTCAATAAATTAATAAATCATATGACAAGTGATTAGTTATTTCAATGTCGGGATTCTTGAACTCTCGCTTTCTATCTGTCAAACCATAGTAAAGCATATAAACATCTGTTAGTCTATAAGAGTTGTCTCTCATGTGTACTGTATGTCCTTAATCTTCAAATCTAATGGTTTACCAATTGTTATCTTATCATAAATATTGGCAAATATACTCAATTCAATTATTTTCCTTATAAATAGTTTGCATTCACTTTAATTACATTTTGCAGATACTCTAGTGTTAAATATTTTTTTAAGATTTAGACAATCTATTGTTTAAATCAATTATATTCAGATAAATTACTTTATAGATTCAAAAAAAATAAATTATATATTTAAATATATAGTGTCATTTTTAAACATGCTTATTGATACTATTTATAAATTTAGCATGCTAATTTAATAATTTTATGAAAATTGCATTATTCTAAGTTATAGTATAATCAATCAACAAATATTGCAAATTAAATAAAAATAGATTATCGTAATACTTTTATTTGTTACCTAGATGAAAAATATCAAATGTAAATTAGCAAGGTGATAATGTAGGACATTTGGTTGACAAAGGCACTTTCTATTTTTTCAACATTATATCATTTATTAAATAAACATTTCAAATATCAAACAATTTATTATATACTGTATAATTATAAACAAACAACGATTGAATTGATTGTTAAATTGATTAAAAAAATAGTGAATAATAATAATAATAATAAATTAATAATAAGTGCAACAAAAGTCATAAAAATAAGTTAAATGTTTTTATTTGACATTCATTACTGTATTGTGTATATGCTATGGTTAAGCTATATATACTGTATATGTATTGTTTACACTGTGTTTACAAAAAGTTTACGAGTGCTGGCGTACAGTATCATTCAAACTGTTGTATAACTTATTATTTATTTATTTTTTAAAAATCCATTGCCTGTAGTCATACTACCCCTGTGTTTGTAAAGGCTTACGTAGCACACAGTCTATTCACCAAACAATCTAACAGTGCTATCAAAACATTTTTTAAATAATAATAATAAGACTCTTTTGTTTTGTTTTTGACTTAAATTTCATTGAAAACTCATAACATTTTTATATCCGGTATGAATTGTGAACTCATTATTAAATATATATATAATAATTAAATTTAGGTATCATTTGTTTGAAATTGTTTTCAAGTAATTTGATTAACAAATTCATTGCAAATATATTATGTGTGAAACATAACTGCAATCACTGTTTTGCCAACTGTTTGATCGGTGCTATACTTACTGTAGTTTTTATAACAAATTAATTGACAATATTTACCAAAAATTATCACTAATTTGAAGTCATTTATATTAAGTTTTTAGTCAGTCATCAGCCATCAGAATGTCAAACATAGGTTCCGGAGGTTTCCCGACATCTCACACGACGTCCACCACAACCAAAGTAACGCCATTAATATGGTTTGACAAGTCTTACATACAGACAATTCCCGGACTGTTGAAGGCATCGGCTATTGTTAGTGATGTTTGGTTTTGTGTGTTGGATGTCATCTAATAATTATTATTTAATTTATATCATAAAACAGATCATCGATTTAATAGCATTTATAATCGCACAGTTCGGTAGTTCATCCTCAGGAAGAGTCGGTTTCTTCAGCTTTACCTCAATGATGGCCTTTTGGTTGACTTTAATACTGTTAGCACTTTATTGCTTACATGTGGTCGAGAAACTGCAGTCATTGCCGTGGCTTCTGGGGGTATGTCATCGACTAATACTAATTTATATACAATTATTATACTTTATTTATAATATAATAACTATAATAAAATTTACATCATTTAATTAAAACCAAATAAAAATTATATTTTTTTTAATAGGAGTTTGCATTTTGTCTCATTTGGACCGCATTTTACTTCTTATCATCACTTCTTATGCTAATTGATGGCGGCGTTCATTCAGCTGCAGGAGTGAGTCAATTGTCAATAATTAATAGCAATATTTAACAGTTAATTAATTTTTTTAATTAGTTTATTTTGACTTTTTTTATTACCTTAAACTTTGTAATTTTTATTAACTACACTATATTTAAATCTAATAATTTATTTAATAATATATCATATTATTCATATAGTAATTACTACAGTATATTATCTTTATTGAAATATGGTTTCCCTAAGTTTACTATAAAGATGATATTGTAGGTTAAGTTATGGTTAATTTAACACTAATACTGTAATTTTAGGGTAATTGTTAATTATCGTATGATTTCATTATTTTTTGTATGTTAAATATTATCATATAATCACACAGTATAACCATTATTACTAACAATTATTATGAAATAATAATTAAATATTTTTTTATTTACAGTAATTATTATAGTTTATTATTTAGGAAATCTATTCAAACTTAAAAATCTGTTTTAGAGAATATTTTATCTGTATATTGCATTAGACAAGTAAAATGTTTTTTAAATAATAATAATAACAATTTAAAATAATGTTTAGGTATTTGGTTTCATTGCTTTTGCAATTTATGGTTACGACGCTTTCATTAAATATCAAGGTTATAGTGCCGGTGAAATAGCACAGGGAGATCGGGAACGGACTACAATTGGGCAAAACAACGCCTAATTTACATCAAATCATATATTCTATACAAATCAAAGTCAATCTCTCGTAAATTTTTGAATTCATATTATTAGTTAACTATATATCAAGTATTTTATAAAATGATATTATTGTTAACATTTATAAGCCAAACAGTTAATGTGCACTTACCGTAATTTAAATTTGAGTCCATTTAAATACTGTATATCTTTTATAATTTAAAAATTTTATTACACTACTGAAGATAAGCTTAAGTTTAATAATCAATAGAAATATACATAAGTTTAACAAATGATTAATATATTATACATGAACTGTACATTTGTAACAATTATAAATAATTATTATGTCCTTGGTTATTTTTGCATTTTTACAAATTAAGACTTAATATTATTTTTATGTATATTTACACTATTCTAATATTTATATAAAAAAATGTTTATTAAATGACACTATTGTGCCTTAAATTAAGTGCAATTATGAAGCAACTAAATTAAATTAAATATTTATTGATATGATTTACAGTGAATATACTGTATAATATTTTTACAGATAATATAATTTTGGTGAATTTGCTGCTAATTATTTTATATTTAATATATACATATATATCATTAAATCAATATTAGTTGAAAATAAATTTATCTATCATTTCATCACTTCATTTTTTATATACATTTTTATACAGTATAATACGTTATATTATTTGTACAATAAATATCTTTAACTGTATCAATAAAAAAATTAATAAGATATAATTTTTAATGTTAAAATATGAAAATTTATTTACATAAGATTGTTTTATATCAAGAAATATACATTTGTTAGTATTAAAAGATAAAAAAATTGTACTCATTTGCCGACTTAAAAAATATTTATAGAAAATAACTAAAATTTGCATTTTATAAGAGTATTGTTTTTTTAGTATTAACGTTATTAGAGTATAAATTAATAAATTGTTTGAATAATTCAGATTATGTTAGCTTAAAATTGTAAATATAGTACAGTATAATTATTTTATAATATTAACTAAATAATTATATTATGGATAGTATTAAATATTTATATTTAATTAATGAAAACATCGTCTTCAATATCGGCATCAAAGTTAATGGAAGTGTTATTGTTTTGTGATATACTTCTTGTATTACTATCTAATGATTGTTTTCTCTTGACATAACTGACAACTCTGAGAGCTGATCCTGGCTTTTGACGACTTAGAGTACTTAAGTCTTGGACACCATTTCCTAATTCCCAAGTTTTAGACGAATCAACATTTAATTTATTTTTCAATTTGTCTCTCATTGAGGTGAGTGTTGTTTCATTGATTATAATATTGTCATTAGATTGGGATGTATTTTGTGAACATCTTTTAGACAATTGTTTGTTTTCATTGACAAGTTTTGTAATCCTAATGGTATAACCTATTATCGATAGTGAAGAACAAATAATACTGAATATTCCGACAGTACTTTTCAAAACTTTTGTCTTCATTATCATCAATATATTGGCAGTGAATAACATGATTACAATTAATGATATGATTAGTACTTCAATTGAAAACCTTTTGTTAACAATCCATTGGGCGTCGCATTGACCGATCAAATGAAGAAAATATATAATGAATGAAACCAAACACGAGATGATTGTAATTACAGAGTAATATAAAAGTACAGACATTAGACAATTGTGAGGATTAGCTGTTAAATCAAATGTCATGTCATCTGATGGATCGCACGGACGCTTCATCTTTGAACAAACAAAAGCTAACAACGAACTCAACATTATTGAGATCAAAATAAAGCCATGAAATAGGGAACTGGAGGTCAAACTTTCCATTGCATTCATTTCCATCTCTTTTACTGAACAATTGGTCCTTTCAGTGATACTGTATTGGTGTTGCAGACTTGTTGGAAGCTTTGGTATATTAGTTGAACCATTGGATCTAATGGATGATTGACTTCTTAAAGATCGTGTGCGACCGGACGGACAGCTTCTGGTTTGAACCACTTTTTGCTTAATTGTTGGCTCTCTATAACTACTTTGCGATTGAGTTCTCTCCAGAAAAGACATTATCAACTAATCCGATGCTAATAATTGGCAAACTTTTCTGTTGTTGAAAGTAATGACACTTTAATTATAAACATAACTATACTAACAATTGACAGCATATATCGATTACAATATAACTTTCAATATTAATGTCAAACTGAATGTTTCAATTGAATTCCACTTTAATCCTGTTTTGTTGTTAAAATGCTTAACAATTAAATATTATTATTATTTTATATAAAAATGTCATTTTGTTTGTATACCAATAAAAATCCAGTCGTTTTGTGATATCTATTCACCGGATGATAACATGAAGAAAACATCCGGAGATATAGCTATTAGAGGAAAGACCTATCAATACAAACATATATAAAAAACTATTGCTGTGATTGAGCCCAACCATCAAATCTTGTTGTTTTCAATATGTAATACAATGTAAATAATAAACTTTATTTATTATTATTATTTTATTAAACAAATGACAAAATTACATGATTTATTTTATTATTATTTAGTTATATATACATACAGTACTATGTATTACATACGTATTTATACGGATTTATATACGTATAAGTTCATATTCATATAAGTTATATTCATACTGTATAAGTATGTATATTATAAAATTATGCTAGAGCATTAGTTTTATTAAATTTAGTAGATTTTATACTAATACTAATAATAAATTATAAATTGTTTTATTAAAATTAGAAATTATATTAAAAACAACATATAATGATGAAACAATTTTTTATAAAGTTTATTATAACACGAAATAGACATTTAAATTATTTTATTATATTCATCGTACTGTTTTGAATATATTTAATATAAAAAATGCAATTTTTGTCATAAAATTTAATAGCAGATACAGTATAACTTAATTTAACTGATGAATAACCGATTATTTTTGTTTTGAGTTTATTTTATATTTATGATTTAATATCTAATATACAATAAAAATATAATGTTATATAAAATTATCCATAACATTATTAACATAGAAACCAATTTTTAATAGCAATTATATGTAAAATAGTTTTTCTGTGAAAAACTATGTGATTACACTATAAAATATTTAATGATATATTTATAATTACTTGAATAGTTTGTCAATTTAATCCACATTATATGTTTTTAATAGATATCAATTTTCAATTTAAATATATAATTTTTAAAAACACTACTTAATACAAGTTAATTTGTTTGAAGATTTCATTAGTAAAATAATAAGCAATATTGCATTTACAAAACTGCAGTTAAAATTCAAGTTTATTTTTTTGCTAAACAAATAACTGGTTTTATTTTAATAGTGATATATTCAAATAAGATGTTTTGTGAATATATTAATAAATTGAAAGTTATATTTATATTCAATAATTAAAGTTTTATTTGAAAATTCATGTACAGTATTGCAAAATTATGTTATATTTTATGTAATATATCGGAAGATTAGTTGTATTTTTGTTGAAAAGATTTAAATGGAAAATCAATATTTAAGTCAAATACTAGATATTTTATATATTAAGTTATATAACATTATTCTGTAATCAATATTATGACCATAAATGTGTTTAAACTCAACGGCCAATTATATTAAACATTTAACTTTTGGAAATGTTATTACAGTATATTATCTGTCAAAAGTTAAGTTATAATTAAAATAACATTATATTAACTTTAATTATTGGTTTTGTGATTATTTACGTTAAATAATATTATTTGTGTGACAATTAAAGAACATTTAAAACTTATTTACCTCAATATATTTGAAACATAATATCAAATATCATGTCTTTCTCGCCTACAAAATCTCAAATGACTGACAGTCAATGACTTTTAGTAATAAATATTATCAAGTGATCCAAATGTTTAAATAACATCGATATGGTGTCTTAATTTATATGTATATATATATATATATAATGCAAATTAATGACTATAATTTAAAATGTAAGATAAATTTAATTAATACTATTTTGTATTGCTTTTTTCATCATAATTATTATGAAATTTAATGTCAAACATTTACTTTAGTTATATACAGTATTATAATAATAGCAATTTGAAAAGTTCTGTACTGTAATTATACAATAATATCAGTATTTATTTTATATGTTTATGATTTAGATATTTATCAAATACGGTAATTGTTTATTTTATTATATAGTATTTAATCCACATGTGCTATACTTATAACATACTACTGTATATTTATGCTATAATAACTGTACAAATATATCTTAGATTGTAAATCAATTGTTTTTTGCAACGATATTATAATATCATAACAATTTGTTAGACATGTAGACAAGTTAATTCGTTTTTACAATAATTGTATAATTAAATTTATGATGTATTTTCAATGCAATTCATGCAATTCAATGGAATATTGATAAATAAGTAAAGTGTATATAAATTGATAATAATATTATTTTACTTAAAATAGTATCGAAAAGTCTATTAATAATTTTTGTCTAAAATGTTTTTATTGTAAAATTATTGAATACATTACTACAAAGCGCTTATTATTTGCAATAATGATCAATAATTTATAGTTTTTGTTGCTTTTTCTTCAAAGTTAATAAATAAGTAAATTTATTTTTTAAATTGAAGGCAAGCTTGTTTGTCAATGTATGATCTCATATGATATAATATTAAAAAATACTACATTAAATACATATAAATATATATCATTTATAAAAAGCAAATTAATTATTAAAAATTGATAAGTTTTGATAAGATTGCTATTACAGATTTATTAGTGGTATATGTGATGACCAGTTGAGTGCATCACTTGTAATCTGTGCTCTATTTAATGTTTTACAACTATAATTACAGTCAGTAAAGCATTGTGTTATCTTTTATATACATAACTTATTGACTATTATTGTTAGTGTTTTGTTCAAAACAGTTTTATTTTTGTAAGCAATACCTCATATTGTAGTAATGATACAAATTCTTATAAATTATAAATAGACTTTCATTATGATTCACATAATACACAAACCACTGAATATAATATAATAATGAGAGAAAATTTTGGGCCGTTATTTGGGTTTCAAAAAATAATATTTATATTGTTTTTGAGGAAAAATCGATAAATAATATGAAACTTTATTTTTGTAGATTAAATTATTTAGTCTTTTGGTTGGCACGCAATGTATTTTCATTTATATGTTTTGATTATATGAGATTTATGTAAAAAAATATTTATTACAAATTGTATAATTAGTTTTACAAATATGTATTGCTAAAGTGATAATTTTTATATATAATTTCCAATATTGTTTTTTTAATGTATTCATAAAAATATATTAATAGTAAAAAATCAATTATTTTTTATTTGTCAATTTCTATTTATTTATATATATACTGTATATCTATATTACAGAATCTTTATGTAATGTATTAATATTTGTATGTTAAGCATATTGATTTTAAAGACTCTCAGTGAAATTTTATTAAATATATCTAAATATTTTAATATAATTGTTTCATAAAAAATTGATCAAACAATCAAAAATGGCTGAAAAACAAGTGTGAAGAGAGAGAGAGAGAGAGAGAGAGAGAGAGAGAGAGATTATGATTGCGAACAGAAAGTTACATTGAATTTTGAAGTAAATTGTTGTAAAAACTTTGAAATCACTGTTTATATTAGAAAAAAACAATTTTGGTTTCCGTGGAAATTTATTTTTATACAATAAATTATTATTTATAATATATACTAATATAAAACTAGAGTAACTATTAAAATATTCAATAAACAATCGGAAAGAGTAATCTATAAAAAAAACATAGAGTAGAGTCACTAATAGACCGATATATTTATTCGCTCTTATATTAACTTAAATATTGAAAATAGTTTTTAACAAAAAATATATAATTTTTATATATTATTAATTGTTATATTGAATTAATTGTTAAGATTTTACTACAGTATATAAAAAATAATTTATAATATGACAATTATGTAAAAGACTAATTATTTAACAGCAAATTACAGTAAGATTTATTAATGTTAGTTACTCTACTCTACTATAGTTTTATTTTAATTTTGTAATATTTGTTATTATATATCTCTTGCGCCAACTCTACAGACAATTGTGTGAAAGATTGAGTGTTTAGTTGAGGTTTGTCTTTAAAAATAATATCATTTTGTTAGACTTGTTGCGTGAGTTGAACTCATTGGCAATGGTTTAGCACTGATAAGCTCACATCATATATCATTTAAATCTATTTTTTATTTATTTCATAAATTAAATAATTTCAGTGCTTTACTGATAATAATATATGCTATTAAAATAAAATAAAAAGTTAACTCATTATTGAACAAATGCTTTCAAACAGATCCAAATTGACAAAACACGAAAACACTATTAAAAGACGTAAAGTGGGCGCAGCTGTAAGTGTCAGACATCGACTCAATGGTTTGTCCACTCTTTCGGCACTTCACAGCACTTCTTCAGCAGTCAGAAAAAGCAAAGGATTTACAATAACAATGAGTAAACCAATTAAGACAACCACCAAAAGTCATGTCATAAACTTAGGCAATAATCAGGATATTCTGCAACAACTGGCAAAAGGTGGTACTTCTCTGTTAACCAAACATTCTGGTGAAGACACTGATCCACAGTCAGAGATGACATTTCAGGATAAAACAAAAATTTTTTTTATAATGCTTATGATTCCATCGGCGGTCTATTTTTTCTCTAATAGTCATAAGTTTTCAGATTCTAATAATAATTCTTTTAATATGAATCATATGGGAATGTATAGTCCCGGTGCTATACCTGGACATGGATTTCGTGGTCAAGGTTTACCGGGTCATGGATTTCCTGGACAAGGTTTTCCAGGTCATGGATCACATGGTCATGGATTTCCTGGACAAGGTTTTCCAGGTCATGGATCACATGGTCATGGATTTCATAGACAACATCACGATCGGCATAGAAGACACTATGACGAAGCCGATGCCATTCGGGAGCGTTAGTAATCTTTTATATAAAATTAATTTTTTTTATTAATATACTTTACTAATAATATATTTACTCTTAGCGTTTGATTATTATCGGTAATTATATATTTTTTATTTAATCAGATTTAGAAGCTATGAGTGTTCCACACCATAGGAACCCACTCTTTGGTAAAGAGCTTGAAGACTATTTTAAACAAAATGAAAATTTATATGAAAACCAAAATGAAAACCAAAATGAAAAACCAAATGAAAAACCAAATGAAAATCAAAATGAAAACCAAAATGAAAAACCAAATGAAAACACAAATGAAAAACCAAATGAAAAACCAAATGAAA